CCTGACCAAAAAAAAGCTACTCTAAGCTGCGACGCACCGAAACGAGTAAAGACGGACGGACAAGAGCACAATCCAATAATCCGTTTTTTTTACGCCTCATCGAACCATAAAAATCGGACTGCCGATATGTCAGTCAAAATTCCTTGTTGAACACTAGCCACAAGCCAGCGTTTCATTTAATCTAACTTATTTAGATTGGTTTGATACTAGGCAGTCTTAGCCTTATCGATCTTGGGAATTTCACAAATAATTTAATTAAAACAATTCAAGGATATTTAAAATCACAACTTGGTGGTGGTCGTAATCTAATCTTATTATATTTTTAAGATAACGTTTAGATTAAATTTGTTTGTTTGTTCATGCTCCACGTCATCACGCGTCGTTTATCTTAATGAGTTGAAACTGGGGTAATGTTTTTGTAGGCAGTTTATGAAAATTTCATATAGCCATCCAGAATAGGACCTCATATCTACGAGGTGATCTCATCGCTTGCCGTGCCTGTTACAGAAAGGGGGCTCAGAAGTTCACTCGGGTTTATCTACAGAGTTTTTTGTGTGTTGTAACGGCTTACTACACTGGTGGTAGGATTGTGTGCCCGTACGAGTAGGTACCAATATCCTGGTTAGTTCCTACTTGAAGCAGCGATGCGATTCAGTTTGAAGAGCAGGGCAGCCATTGTACTATAGAACTGAAACTAAGAACTCATACCTCGAAGTGGGTGGTGGCAATTAGGCTATGAATGCGAACATCAAACGACACTTACTGGTACTAGGAATTTATGTGTCCATCAATAGGTACAGCCAAGTCGACCTTCTTGTCGAATGACTTATGGCCTTTGTCCCTAATGTCTCAATGCAATCAGTTATGTCAAAGCATAGCGCGCTCGTAGGACCACGGGATTTAATGAGACAACAGCAACCTGTGAGTCGGTTTTAATGTATCTAGTGGGAAGACAGTGGTGACTTGAAAGCGTCACTTTTGACAACGGTTGCCACATATTTTGTCCCATAGATCTAGTACAATCCAAACTAAGTTCCCTTCACTGTGCAAGGGCAATTCGGATGATGCGCCAGATGAACTGGTCAAGTATAAGACCACACTTTACGCGCTAGCTACAAGTTATTTGATGCTAGAGGAGGTTTTGATGCGTGTCTAAAGCACCACAATCGATTCCATCATCTATAATGCTCTCCAAGCAGCCGAAGACAGAATGAGATAGCCCAGCATCGTGACGACGAAGGTCATAGATGGAGGTGGTAACGACCCTCAGATATAAGCACGACTGTAGTCCTATAGATTCAGTCTTATCAAACTTTTTTCTAGTTATACATACCGTGTTGCATACACGTTGCTTGGACTTAGCTAGGCGACATCACTCTGAGTCTACAGATCAGTTTAATAGTAATCTCGTTCCAAAATTGTAGTGTAAAATTCTCGGACCACACAACGAATATGTATAATATTGAAAAAGCATTAACCGATATTATTGGCGTGGAAAATGAATTGCGGAAACATTTCGGTAATGTGACCGTTTGTATTTAATGTCGCGGAAGGGACTTAGGGGCTTATTTATTTTCATTGGACTATTCCCGGTTCTGTCAGTTGCTCTTAATGTTTTTATTTAGTGGCCAACTTGTATTAAACGCTATGTAGCGCTTGGAGCCAAACCCAATTAAGTAAATACGGCATTTAGCGCCTCCCATTGTGTCCCATGAGCGTTTTTTAGTGGAACTAGCATAATAATCAAATAGTTCAATAACATAGTGAAGTATCCGAAAAGTCGGAAAAATCTTTCTTTATTCTTTATTCTTTATTGTACACACAGTTAATATTACAATAATTGCGTAAGATATAAAAATATATCTTAAGTGAAAATTATAAACGCCACATTTGAAGTCGTCGTGGCCTAAAGGATAAGACGTCCGGTGCATTCATAGCGATGCAACGGTGTTCGAATCTCGCAGACGGGTACCAATTTTTCTAATGAAATACGTACTTAACAATTGTTCACGATTCACTTCCACGATGAAGGAATAACATCGTGTAATAAAAATGAAACCCGCAAAATTGTAATTTGTGTAATTACTGGTGGTAGGACCTCTTGTGAGTCCGCACGGGTAGGTAACACTGCCCCGCCTATTTCTGCCGTGAAGCAGTAATGCGTTTCGGTTTGAAGGGTGGGGCAGCCGTTGTAACTATACTGAGACCTTAGAACTTCTATCTCAAGGTGTGTGACGCATTTACGTTGTAGATGTCTATGGGTTCCGGTAACCACTTAACACCAGATGGACTGTGAGCTCGTCCACACATCTAGGCAATAAAAAAAAAAGAAACTTCCACAAGCAAGACGAGATATATCATTTGTTCAGCCTTTAGAGAGATTGAGACAGTCTAAAATATCAAAAATGCCAAAATAACTTAAATATTGCTTTGGCATTCAAATTTAGGTTACAAATAGTAAATAATAACTAGAATCTATTGCTATACTGGTAGTATGTGACAAAATAAAGATTTTCCACTCAGCTGTTAGGTACTATTGCTCGGAAATCTGAAAATAATGACAACGTCTCCGTGACAAATGCTAAAATTATATGAAAACACTAGTATATTTTTTGCATATTTGATGTCTTTATTATAATTACGGAGTACTGGTCATGGAATATCTGTGAAACTATTATACACTCGAACTAATTTAGTATTCGACAATTTCTTGCTTTGAATTTTAAAAAAAAACTCTCAATATAATAAACATTGAATTTGAATCAACATTAAAACACATATGATAAACTATTTTAATATCATTAAAGCATTTGCGGGCAGTACATGGCCCAGAACAGCTGAAAACAGAATCCTATGGAAACAATTGGAGGAGGCCTATGTCTTTAATAGACAAACAGAAAAAAATTATAATAATTTAACTAATTCAAAAACAGATTTAAATTATGGAAAATATTGTAATTAAATTAATATTAATTTTTTTTTATTGCCTTTGTTGGCAGACGAGCATACGGCCCACCTGATGGTAAGTGGTCACCGTCGCTCATGGACGTCAGCAATGCAAGGGGCAGAGCCAAGCCGCTGCCTACCATTAAGTACTCTCCGCAAGCCTCGTTTGAAGAAGGACATGTCATAGCGCTCCAGAAACACTGTAGAGGGGAGTTCATTCCAAAGCCGGATGGTACGTGGCAAAAAAGATCTTTGGAAACGTACTGTCGTTGAACGCAGCCGTTCCAGATAATATGTATGAACTCTGCTCCGATGGCGGGAGGTGCGATGATAAAAAGGAGATGAGGGGATCATCTCGAATAACTCCTCAGAGCATTCCTACTCATACTCCATCCATGTCTTCTTCGGTCGACCTCTTGCCCCTTTACCTTGCACTACTGATTCCATACATCTCATAGTCATATGCATCTCCTCTTTACGCATCACATGTTCATACCACGCTAACCGTTTTAAATATATTAAATAATTAATAAAATGAAATAATAATTGTGGATGTAAAACTTAAGTATTTTGTCTGAACAAAGGCTTCTAATGTAAGAAAAAAATGAACTATGTATTTGCATTTCACTACTTCTGACAGACGACAAGGACTTTTGTCTTTTCCACGACAATGTCTCTACACTTAAACACAAATCGTTTTGTACAGGATGCAGCAGAAAGCATAGGGGGAGCGAAAATTACATCCTACTCGTAATATGTACCAGTGAGGGCTAAATGTGGGATAATAAGCGACTGAGATGAGTACGGAGATGAAACGATGAAAGCTCATATTTAGCCAGTGTGTGCCTTTTTCATGATGATAGCATAGGTGGGCAGACAAGCCCATGAATCACTTAAGAGTAAAATAGAGTTGGAATAAGTTTTCGTGGTAGAAACCGTCAGTCAGGGGCACAGCCAAGCCAGGGCCTAAGGCTGAAAATTTTTTTCAAAGCTCACCTTAAGAAGGAAGTCTCAAAATGCTCATGAAATATTTCGCAGGAGCAAATATTAGAGACCTGAATGGTACTTGGCCCAAATGATTCCTAGAAACGCCTCGAAGACTCCCTCGGCCGGACGTCCTTGGGGTGAGCTGCACCGTCTGGTTGTAGTGTTGACCGCGGTAATCTCCTTACCTCAGCCGGGTACTGACTTTGGAGGGGATCGGACGCTTGGGCGAAGAGTGCAGGGGAGGTGTTTAGTGGGTAGGGCCCTAAAAACACCTTTGGGCCCGCGGTTTCGCAGACGCAGACCAGTCCCACATACCCCGCACGCCCCCTAGTCGCGGAAGTTTGACCCCCGATCTGAAAAAAAAAGGTTGCATCTTAAATGTGGGTTAAGACCCTAAAAAAGTTTATTAAAATAGGAAACAGAAACGACCTTCGACAGGGTAATAAAATGATCCTGTTGCTAACGACGTGTTTCTAATCCTGGGTGGAAACAGGTAATTATCGAAATATTGGAAATGACGCAATAAACACCTGCAACTACTGAAGCAATATCAATATAATAATACGCTTAAGATAAAATTAATCTCGAGCAATCAGTTCAACAGTGAATCAGATTTGATAATTATGGATATATAAGCCACTAGGTCGTTATGAAAAGCATTCAATTTTTTAAGAGAGGTAATGTAATGTACTTGTATAATACTTTCCTTCTTAATATTTCCCTGTTCGATCCTCTAAAACCTTAAGCTTCTTTCAAATTATTTCATTTATCTTCTTTATTTCCATTTTCATACCAATGTCTCGCCACAAATTTTATCCGCGATACATCATGGTCATCGATAAATTTGGCCTAAAGCTAAGATCGTTAATCTGATTTGTAAAATGTAAGGAATACATTTTCTTCCTTCTCATCGTGTTCGTCAAGGATGTCAAGTTTTAATATCAAACGACACAGAGAAAGTAACATAAATTCAATGAAAAACCGTTTTTTTTTGTTTGTACTTCATATATTTTATTTTTGTTTGTAATGTCTTCATATATATTTTTTTATATTTTTGTTTGTTTGTAATGTCTTCATATATTTTTCGTTTCAGCAGAATCCAATCAACAATGAAGGCCTTCATCTTTGCCCTTGCCCTAGCCTGCGTGTCGGCTGTGCCACACCGCGATGTCGGTAAGGATACTAAAATAACCCGACTGATTGCTGATTTTTCTACATGCTGCTTAGTATCATAAGCTATTGCATTACATACAAACATTTTACTGGTGCAGGGCGGGTAGGTACCACCGCCCTATCTATTTCTGCCGTGGAGCAGTAATGCGTTTTGGTTTGAAGGGTGAGGCAGCCGTTGTACTGAGACCTTAGAATTCTTGTTTCAAGATGAATAGCGGCTCATACGCTGTAGTTGTCTATGGGCTCCGGTAACCACTTAACACCAGGTGGGCCATGAGTTCATCCACCCATCTAAGCATTAAAAAAAAATTGTATTGCATGCGCTCGTAAAAAAATCCCTCCTTCCCAGTATCAGGATAAACTTACTCTAATGTCCAAAGCATTCTAGTTTTTTAGTGATCAGCATGAACAGAAAACTATCTTTCCAGATTTCGAGCCTAGTTCTCAGCGCATCCTTGACATCGTGATCTCAAACTTGTTCAATGAAATCGGTGAATTGTTGAGAGCGGCTGATCCCCTCCGCCGTGACGGCTACGCTGGCTCCTGGAGCCCTCCAGGTGCATCAGAGTGAGTAATATTATACGTTTTACTTTGAGCTTCACTTGTCACTTTATTGTAACTGAAAAGAATTGTATAAACGGCATCAGTTCTTGATACCGCTCGTGGTACTTTCCTTGATACTCAGTCGAAGTGGGACTTGCTAACTTAACAGCTTTGGGGTGGCAGCTTTGCGACTGTGTCTACTTCGGATCGAAATCGCGATCCGCCAAGAAGATCCAATGAGAGACTCAGCATGCTGATGTTGTAGGATGTCATGTCGAAAATGTTTGATGAGTACTACAGTCATCTGCACTATCATTGCTGTGAGCTTTAAAAACAGCAGTCCAACAGCACTGAGGGCTGATCGGGTGGAACCCCTCGGGCGGGAATGCATGATTGTTTCGTGGCTTTATTATATTTCTTCAGCTAGCAGCGAGACTTAATTACGGAGGGATTTTAAAAAGCATATATTTGCACAGGCTTAACAGGCAAACGCATAATGGTATCCCGAAATCCTTGAAGATAAATTTACGATATCCTTGAAGATAAATTTAATTCGTTTCACACTATTAATTAATATTAATACCTCAACACTTGTAAAGGTATTGAGATCGCTAGAGCTTCTTTCATGAATAAGACACTGGTAGTATGGGATTGGTCCCCTGGACCCTGGGGTTACATACTTAGATCTTCTGATTAAAAACCACACAGAGTGACATCATGTAAGATTCTTGGGCCATAGATTTGGATGGAACAATCGGAAGACTTACTGCAATATTCAATTTCTACTGGTATATTAATCATAATGTCGACACATTAACTTTATCAAGCTCCTTAATAATCCTTGTTTTATCCTCATCTGCAGCATCATTAACTTCTCTGGCCGCGTGACTGACGTCAAGGCTGATGACTTCAGCTCCCTGCATTTGCGTAGTGTCAGCTATGTCGGCACCCGACTCAACTTAGTCCTGGCTGTTCCCAGAGTTTCAGCATCAGTCGGTGAGTACATGTTTTACGATATATGCCCTAATATGCCCTAACTACATATATCTTGAAAATTGCACATACGAGTATACAACATTTACAATTACAGGTGCCGCTGAAGGAGAAATCCGCATTTTCAGCCGCGTCCTGAGGTCTTTCGCTTCCGGAGGGTACGTTGTCCATTTTTCAAAACGTACCGTATTCATAGAATTATACTTGAGAGCTGGATTTCTTAAAAATACATATACGTATTTTTCTGTTTCAGACTTGCCCTTGAGAACGTCGTTGCTGAGGCTACCGCTTCCGTCTCCCTCGCAGGCGACATCATTGTCAGTGACATCGGAGCTGCAATAACTATTGGCGATGTCAAAGTACGAACTTTTAATATTATTTATATTTAAAAGATTAGAATTTTCACTATGGCAATGTCACTTGTCCACACCGACCACCGCCGAGCATGTACTACTATCTTTTAGATTTCCCTGAACGATTTACATAAAGATAGCTCCGTTCAGTGTTGCCCAATATTTGGAGCCCGTTCGCAATTTATTAACAGAATTGACGGCCGGGCGTTGCCGGCGTAATAATTGAATTTCCAAACAAAAATGTCCACAAGCAAGTAATTGGTGGTCTCATTTGATTACGATACTTAGTCTGCAAGAAATATTTCGATTGTCTTAGCTGTATTTTTTGTGCTAAATTATTGTGTACTGACCGATTTCTTTCTTTCTAGTCTAACCTCCAAATCAATCTCTTCGGACGCGAAGTTGGACCAGCCGTCAATGACTTCCTAGAGAAGATCCCTGTCTACCTGACGGACTACGCAGTAAGTGTTCATTACAATTTTATTATGTTTTGCGGTTAGAGTGCAGTTAGACTTGAATACGTACATTTATCTAAATACTAGCTGATCCGGCTGGCTTTGTAGTACTTAGATCGATAAATAAAATACCTTAACTTTTGTATAAAATAAACTTAAAACAAACAAAAGCAATTCGTCCGACGGGGGACGCATTAAAGGAAAAACAAAATTGTTATTTTTATTGGATTCCGAGCATTTCATATTTATCTACCTTTTAAAACTTCTCTAGACTACCACAAATAATTCAAGACCAAAATTAGTCAAATCGGTCCAGTCGTTCTCGAGTTTTAGCGAGACTAACGAACAGCAATTCATTTTTATATATATAGATTTAATTTAATTAATTAATTTAATAATGTTTTTTTTTGTTTAGGCCGAGGTCAGCCGTGTTTTGGAGTACGTCGCCCAACTCATCATCAACAGATTACTGTAAATTACTCGAACGATACTTGTGAATCAAAAATAAATTATGTTCTCTTAAAATTGTCAACTTGTATTTTCATTAAATTCCGACCCGATTTAAGTAACTGTTCATTTGGTAAATGTTGTTTTGACACGAAACACTAAGTACGATATACTAAGCGTTGATGAAATTTTAAGGTTTTATTCTTTTAATGTTCTTCGCCTTATTCAAAACCATTTTCCGATCACACGTCGGCTATAAATATAACAGCTAAATAATGTTCTTTTCTTGAACACTATATTATTATTATATTGTGAATTTTAACAATACTAAAAGGAATATAATAATAAAATAAATTACACACCAATCCATTAATTGCTAAATTTTTTTTACAGCTTAGATGAGTGGACGATCTCACAGCCCACCTGGTGTTAAGTGGTTACTGGAACCCATAGATATCTACAACGTAAATGCGCCACCCACCTTGAGATATAAGTTCTAAGGTACAGTTACAACGGTTGGCCCGCCCTTCTAACCGAAACGCATTACTGCTTCACGGCAGAAATAGGCAGGGCGGTGGTACCTACCCGTGTGGACTCACAGAGGTCCTACCACCAGTAAAAAACTATAATATAAAACTAATAACTAGCTAAACTTTATGTGTACTTTAGACAGATTATTGAGTGTCTTTCTATAAAAAAAACCTGCTATTTATTATAAGACAGGGTTACGTGCACATTTCTTTCAAAGGAGCCGTTTGGAATTTGACACTTAATGGTTTTACTCATCTCAAGTTTCATAACACAAGAGAAAATTCTAGATTAGAAATATGAATGTGTAATATTTACTGGCAGTAGGCTACCCTACCGCAAGGTTCTAAGAATGTATTAACAAATGGAGATGTTTCTGTTTAATCAAAAGACGGCTTTGAATAATCCAAGAGAGGTATCCCTTACCGGACTAGTCGAGATAGAAATAACCATTTATCTTTGTGTATATAAACTGAATTATTTATGTAGGGTCTTAGCATCAGGCTTAAGAACTTTAATTCAAGTCATTTTGTTACTAATACTAGGGGTCCCTCGGTAGTCTAAATTCGAGTATAATTAATTGAAATTATAAGTTATTATGGTTCTATTATCAAAGACTATTACACTTCTATAATCACTAGGAGCAGGCTGAGGAACCCCGGTAACCGTACTCGTCGAACTCGACAAAGAGTTCGACGTGCAACCTAACCCATGCATCAGCCCGTTGAGTTTCTCGCGGGATCTTCTTAGTGGGTCGCGATTCCGATCCAGTAGTAGATTCATTCGCGAAACAATTGCTCTTGAGTTGTTAGGTCTCCTTCGGAGGCGCTCGGGCAGTTGTTAGCAAATCCCACCCCTCCTGGCTGAGCCTTTGTTCGCCCACCTGTCTTGGTGAAGCTGGAAAGGCCTCCGGGCCACCAGTAATATAGCAATCATAAAAAAAAAAAACTATAATTGTAGATTTCGCCAATATTACACTATAGATAAATAATATTAAAGACAAACAATATTAATCTATTCTGAATTTGACCACAGACTTTAATCAGTAACTCTCTATATTCTCTATAATTGTAGGATAATTCATACACGTCCGTCTGCGCAATTTTCGTAAAAAACGGGTACAAAGTTTTTGCTTCACGTATTAATTTAAAGATTAACATCGTTCGTACTGGTTCGCGAAATTCGTTGAATCTCTTTAAAAAAAGGAATTTTTAGATTCAATTTTTTTAAAAAAAATGGAATAATTAAATTGATAAGCACTACTTAACTTAGGGAAATAGAAATAAAAAAATACTGTAAAATAGAAAAATACCCTCATTCCGGGAATTGGAAATGTGTGGCTCCCGCGGGAGTTCCGGACTGACTGACAGCAGAGCGCGGGAATATCTAACTTATACCTATCAATAAATTGCATACTGGAAAACCTCAGGTCTGCATATGAAAACAAGGGGTGCAGCAGTACCAAACACAGATAATGGTAGGATGAACGAATATAACATCGCATGAAACACGTAGCTATTGTTAATTCTCATAATAGCTAATCAATAGCTACCTGTACCTCTATACCAAGTTTAAAAAAAAAAAAATATTGCTTAGATGGGTGGATGACCTCACAGCCTACCTGGTGTTAAGTGGTTGCTGGAGCCCATAGACATCCACAACGTAAATGCGCCATCCACCCTGAGACATAAGTTCTAAGGTCTCAAGTATAGTTACAACGGCTGCCCCGCCCTTCAGACCGAAACGCATTACTGCTTCACGGCAGAAGTAGGCAGGGCGGTGGTACCCACCCGCGCGGACTCACAAGAGGTCCTACCACCAGCTTAATGCATTTCTGTCGCAAAGGAGTCCGGTTTGAATTAGACGCGATACTACAATCTAGCGAATTCTACAGTCTTTTCAGAAGAGAATAACGTCAGGACTCTTGAGAGTCTTAATAGTCTGGTGATGGCAATACATATTTGATTGCCACATTACATCAGTTGTTCCACGAAGTCTCGTATGCCCATTTTAGATAATATAAAACTTAAATATTAGGTTACTCGAAATGTTACATTACATTTCGACAAAGCAGTGAGTCCATTTCGCATAGTTAAATTATTGATAAGCCACCTCGAGGGCACCTTTGAGTTCAACCCGATAAATATTAATAGTTTCCTTAATGAATTACACAAGAGATTTTAGTTCAATTCGAAACGATATTTGATTGAGTTGTATTTGGTTTAACGGGCTTAAGAGTTTCCATAAGCAAAACACATATGTAAAGTTGCCTAACAGATTTGTGACCGTCATTTCCCACTGAGTTTCTCGCCGAATCTTCCCAGTGGGTTGCGATTCCGATCCGGTGGTAGATTCTGTGACACACTGCTCTTGCTAGGGCTAGTGTTAGCAAATTCTCTGAGATTGAGCCCGTGAGTTCACCTACCCGTCCGGCTGTAGCTGGGATAATTCCTTAGGTTAATTAGGCTTAAATTAATATTGTACAGTCCAGTAAATACAATAAAAGGCGATACAGCAATGACGCATTGAATGAAATTAAGAGACTTTAGAGACTGTAAGTAGATTAAGAATACAATATATAACTCGATCTTAACACATGTAATTCTAAGGAAACGAGTATATTTTTCATAAAAATAGAGCTTCACGGGAATTCAAAGAGGAAACTCTCGCGACACGGTTTTGTGTAACATAAATAATATTTCTAACGTGATAAACCCCGTTTCATATTTCTATTCAATTTATATATTTCAAGTTGATTTTGAATTTGTAAATGAAAGCTTACATGGAGTTTATTTAAAGCCAAAAAACATCCCTGATTTTTCAGTACATTATCGCTCAAAAATGGGACATTTCATAATAATTCATAATACATGTAATCCTGAAAAGTTAACTGTTCGTGTTTCGTCCCATCCATTCAAATTACGACGTCGGGACTCAATTATTTTACAAATCCCGAACGCAAACCGGTCCGGTTCGGTCTCAGCCGGTTCGCTCCAGACTTATCCGGGTAAAACCGGTAAACGATCTCTCGACTTTGCCGCTCTCATTAAGGGGCTGAGTTACCGTTTTTTTCGCTCGCTTTTCGTTTGGTATTTATCTTGATTACTAGATACTTTGTTTCGCCTGTTTAATAATTTTTATAGGTATCATAATGCAGGGTGTAAATTTTTATGAATCAGTCGTAATTTTAGCTTCAGATTCGTCTATTAGGATGGTGATGAGTGGGAGGTTTATCTTAGAAAATAAGGAATTATTTTGTTCCCGGGGTTGCCAGGGTGGTGAAGAGAAATAAAGCACAGAAAAGTATGTATGAACTATCGTGTGAACAACACGGATAATGGGATTTGTTTTTTCCGAAGACCAGAGAACGAAGAAAGAGCCCAATGCAAGTTTTTTTTATCTTATAGGCAGATGAGCATACCTAATGGTGACTGGTTACCGTCGGAGATGGACGTCAGCAATGCCAGAGGCAGAGCCAAGCTACTGCCTACCAAGCCTGCCAAGGTAGGTTCTAGCAGATTCTAACAATATAGTAGTGAAAGTAATATCGAGAATTCTCCCTTGCTTTTCTTTTCTTGTAAATCCTCCTATTCTTCAGTCCACAGACGTCCACTACTGGACATAGGTCAACTGGACATAGGCCTCCCCCAAAACCTAACCGCAACGACCGGTCCTGCGATGCCCCCACCCTGTAAATCATGAAGGTCTAATATCTCTGTGGTGCCTAGCAGCACGATTTCAGAGCCTTTAAAGCACTTTTCATGTATTTTTAAACTAATATCCAGAGGTAGTTGAGCGCCTGTCAGCCGCCGGAAATTGCATTTACGCTTCATCACGGCGTGCCTCCAGAGATTTTGGGTAAACACTTTCTGTTACAGATTTAAATTGATTTTTAGATATTTTTAACATAGTTTACTTTATAAAGTTGTAAACATGTATTGAAACGCAACAGTGCCCCACCTCAAAATTTGAGGTCAATAGTTTAGCACAATATTTACCGTTAATAATTCCATTTGTGAACCCACTTGGGTAGGTGTTACCGGTTATCGTTATTTTGCAAATACTTCACAAGCCAGCTCACCTGGTCTTATGCGTGGAGTCCATGAACATCTCCACGGGTTTACCTTTATCTGTCTGTCTTTAACGACTGTCGAACTCTTCAACCATTATTACTTCGCAGCAGATTAAAAGCAGGACGGTGGTACCTAACCGTGCGCCCTCATAAATCCCTCTACATGCAACTTAACCCCATAATTACGCACATAAGGTTAACTTTTACTGGTTTGTGATTTTTAGGTAAAAAAAAAAATATGGTAAAAGATCTCTTGGACGAAGCCCCATGCGTTGGACTGAGCAAGTGAAAGTTCATACCAAAACCCCACTTAACGAGTGCGTGCGCCAAGAACCTGCTCGCGAACTATGGAGATCAGGGTCAAGGCTTTAATAAACCAGGATTGCACATGACCACGACTGCTCTACCAAGAGTAACTGACTATGATGGAGATGAATTGGTTGCTGGATTTCAAAACCGGTACAGTCGCATCGGTCGAAATG